ACATCAAACCAAGCTTCTGCCGCCCTTGGTCCTCTTCCACAAGAACTACGGCCCCACTTTCCTCCTCTAAATAAAAAATGTATGACGGAGGAGACTCATCCACGACCTCCGACACTAAACTCTCCTCCTCTTGCATGTTTCCGCTGTCCATAGCGTTCCTTGACAGTGTCGTTTCTAAGTCACCAATTTAGTGCTACTTGGTCCTAATGGAATTTCCCATTGGGAACCTGCTAGCGCTAAGTTGCTAACTGGTTAGCAAGATGCTTCCAACAAACCGGCTACAACCAAACTTGCTTGCGAACCTTCCGCCACAACAATCCCGCCCTCTTGATAATCGACCAATCACATTCACTTTATTCACTCGTGTAAAGTTGTGCACCACTTGGGAGAATTCGGAAATGCAACGATTGGAACAGCCGTTTAGCTACGACTTTAATGATTCACTATAGTGTAGAAAAGTGATCCTGGTCCAAAACAAGTTTCTTTATGTTTTCAATTATCTGTGTTATGTATTGAACACGACTATTTAATTATTGTGGGGGACTTTAATGTACATGGTGGCAACCCTGCAGACAAAGGTGCAAAAGAACTGTGTGACTTACTTAAAAGTTTTGGTTTGATTCAACATGCTAAGCAGCAAACACACAATCGAGGACACATTTTGAAGCTGGTCATCAACAAAGGTCCAAATATTTCTAATGTTTCTGTAACTGATGTTACCCTATCAGCCCTATTGATATTATTTTTCCAACTGATCTAATTACCTAAAGCTATGTTATTAGAAAGTGTGTTATCCTGGACAGTATAATTAATAACTGTACCCAGGCGTAGCCTTCTGCCACTACTTTAGCCTGTAACTCAGTAGATGAGCTGTTTGATTGATTCCATTCATCCAGTTAAAGTCAAGGTTGTCTCTCCAACTAGAGATTGCTCTGGTGTGAGCCAATAGAATTAAGAAGAATTGAGAAAGACTCCTGGAAAAGTGTCAAAAGTGAAAAAAATAAATGAAATAAAAAAACTGAGCGAATGTCATTTTGCTTTCCATTTTAAAACCTGTTATTGGTTGCCATGACCTGGATGACTGAAAATGTACTGTTTAAATAAGAGACCAGAAAAATCACATGTGGGGTTCCTCAGGGCTCCATTTTAGGCCCCCTCCTATTTGACATTTACATACTCCCTTTAACTGAAATTATAGCAAACAACAACATCAGTTACCACGACGATGATTCTTTAAAAGAATGTAGGTAGCGACTGTGGAGGATCTGATAGATCCAGGGACGCTGTTGGACATTGTTGTTCGGCTTTCCACGTTAAATAGGCCTTCAGCGGACCTGGTATCTTCCACAATGTTAAGTTAAACAGAGTTCAGACAGGAGGATAGGAGGAGAATAGGCTTTTGTCAGGTTTATTCAATGATGATTATAAAATTAA